CTCTCCCTCTCTCTCTCTCTCTCCCTCTCCCTCTCCCTCTCCCTCTCCCTCTCCCTCTCCCTCTCTCCCCCCTCTCCCTCTCCCTCTCTTGCCCCCCTCTCCCTCTCCCTCTCCCTCTCACTCTCACTCTCACTCTCTCCCCCCTCTCCCTCTCCCCCCCTCTCCCTCTCCCCCCCTCTCCCTCTCCCCCCTCTCCCTCTCCCCCCCTCTCCCTCTCCCCCCCTCTCCCTCTCCCCCCCTCTCCCTCTCTCCCCCCCTCTCCCTCTCTCTCCCTTCTCCCTCTCTCCCCCTTCTCCCTCTCTCCCCCTTCCTCTCCGCTCCTTCCCCTTCCCACTCTCCCTCTCCCCTCGACTTTCTTCTCCTTTCCTCTTCTTCCTACCCATTTTAGTTTTTCTTCTTTTACCCCTGCCCCCTTTTTTTTTTTTTACATGTCATCTCACCACCAATCCCTTCCTCCCACTCCCACAGAAATCTGTTGGCGACAACCGCTGGTCCTCGCGCTGGGACTACATCCTGGACTCCATGCCTCACACCAACATCCAGTGGTTCAGCATCCTCAACTCCCTCGTAATCGTGCTCTTCCTTTCGGGAATGGTGGCCATGATTATGCTGAGGACCCTGCACAAGGATATTGCACGTTACAACCAGGTAAGGAGAGAAAAGGCAGGGGGAAGGGGTGGTAGGAGGACGGCATAAGGCAGAGTGGGTTGAGGAAATGAAGGTTTTTGTTGATGGTTGGAGGGAGGGAGGTGGGGAGGTTGAGAGGTGGGAGGAAGGAGAGGGAGGTATGTAAGAGCTCTGTTTTAGTGACAGACTTCCTGGACCAGTGGAAGCAATGATGAGGTTATGCTTCCTGGCTGTACTAGTGTTTTAGGAATATGCAGGGTATATCATGAAGGGTCAGGTTGGTTTGCGGATAGAAGACACTCGGGTTGGAGGTCGAATGTTTCAAGGCTGCTTGGTTTGGGTGGAATTGCCATCTTTGAGAATATTGAAGTAGAATTCTCAGGCTTTACAGCCATCATAAGGTGGGCTGGAGGGGAAGGGGAAATTAGAATGTGCGTGGAAGGTATTAGGTGGAGGGAGAGTGAAGAGGAATGGAAGGATAGGTGGGTGGCAGAGCATGGCTGGGTTAGAGGGATGAAGTTTTACTTGAGAGAAGAAATGTTTTGGCAGATGAAGCCCTGTCTGCTGAAGAATGTTGGGGGAGAAAGTGTTGTAACCCTTAATATTTTTCCCTTCTTGTTTGCAGATTGATGCAGGAGAGGATGCACAGGAAGAGTACGGCTGGAAACTGGTCCATGGAGATGTGTTCCGTCCTCCACGCAATGGCATGCTGCTTTCGGTGCTGGTTGGCTCTGGTGTGCAGGTGTTCAGCATGTCCCTCATCACCCTAGGTTGGTTTCGGAACGTTTTCGCTCAGTGACCTCTTGTCTGATTTAACGTTCTCATGTGTTATTGGAAACTTAAGATGATGGTACAAATTTGTCAGTACTTTCCCCCTAATTTTTATGTGAGAGAGAGAGAGAGAGAGAGAGAGAGAGAGAGAGAGAGAGAGAGAGAGAGAGAGAGAGAGAGAGAGAGAGAGAGAGAGAGAGAGAAAAAAAAATTATAAAAGAATGAGAAAATGATAAAAGTCCTCCCTCAACCCCTCCATAGCTTTCGCCTGCCTGGGCTTCCTGTCTCCGGCCAACCGAGGCGCTCTCATGACCTGTGCGATGGTGCTGTACGTCTGCCTAGGATTCCCTGCCGGATACACAGCAGCACGACTGTATAAGAGCTTCGGCGGAGAGAAGTGGAAGTCGAATGTACTCCTGACCTCCATGTTGTGCCCCGGGTGAGTGCAAGGGCCTATGAGTGAGTAAGGATTGTGTGCGATTGAGTGGTTCTTTAGGGTTGGTTATTTTCATGTTTTTTTTTTCTTGTTTTTTTTCTTGTTTTTTTTCTTGTTTTTCTTGGGAGTCTGCTGTGTGTGTCTTGTCATATATTAGGCAATTATCTGTTTATTTACTATATTTTGTATTTATTTGGGCTTTTGAGACCGACATACTGAGAGACATAGACATAGACCCAGACTGACAGATATAGATGTAGACAAACAAAAACAGAGATAGACATGGGCAAACATAGATACAGATAAACATCGCCGCAGACAGACTGACTTGACTGGCCGACCAACAGACTTAACCGACTGATTGACATAGACAGACACAGATGGAGACACTCACAAACCCAGACACAGATTAGCACAGACAGAGGTGCTCACAGGCGCGCATGCACACAGACAGACAGACAGACAGACAGATAGATAAATAAACAGATGTAATTGCAGATTGATTGTAATTGTAATTATAAATATGTAAGTGGTATATGTATTATTAGAAACAAGATAAAGAATTTCAATAAATGAATTTTTAGCCATTTTCAACCATCCCTGTTTCAGCATTGTGTTCGCCCTCTTCTTCCTGATGAACCTCATCTTCTGGTACAAGGGTTCGAG